AAGTGATATTACGGGCTATTCTGAAGTATTACGGTTGTATATAGATGAACCAAGTAATGTTAACGAAACGTATGCTAAGAAAACTATGACTTGTAGATCGTCCAGGTTTGCCTTAAACAGGCAGCCATAATTTAATGATTGCTATGTCACATGGCCATATTTATAACGGAAACATTTCCCGATAAAAGTGGTCACTGCGGCCGAACCCGAAGTCACAGGACAATATAAATTAGATATTTGGACTCCCCTTTGAATGTACTTTCATATTTAATAAGAAACTCCTTAAAGTCCAAACATTAAGTTATGGCTGCTTTTTAGGCAAATCTGGGCAATCTCCAAGTCATTGTTTAGTTCCCTTTACATTAGGGGGCCATTTATATACAGGCGTAATACTTCAGTTTCACCTGTAATATTGCATGACTTACAAATTACAACTTGGTCATTCCCCTCACACCTTCCTCTCTTTCTCTACGTACTAATCTGAATCACGCACATGAATTCATATTCCTTTCCCCCCTTGGTTTACTCTGTTTTAGGGAATAATCGGCGAGAGTATATACTAGAGTCCTTTTGTCTAAATTATTATACAGGTACTGTACTAGTATTTATTTTAATAGGTATTTTAATATCAGTGGCTGGAATACTATTCAAATGTATGTTTTTTCTATAGAAAATAAAACATGATAACTGAATACAAAATATACATAAGATAGTGTTTTAAATTTTATAGAAAAAACACACATTTTAATAGTATTCTAGCTACTGATATAATATTTTTTAAACAAAAATTTGGCAAAATTGACACATAATGTGATGAAAAGTGTTTTCCACAAAAATATTTTGAAGAATTAAATTGTGATTTAATTAGAATTAATAAAAACTATTTACATTAAATTTTCATTTTTTGTGTTTCAATTTTTGTATTTTTATATAATGAAAATTATAGATTTTAAAAATTAACCAATAAGTTTTATTTGAACAAATTAAAATAACATCATAATAATATTAATTACAAATTTAAACCTTAATTGCTTATAAAATGTTATAATTAATAAATTAATAATTGTGTTTAAACTAAATTAAAAATCAGGTTTCGGCAATGCACTAAATCGTTGTCCGCCGTCGACCACCAGATTCTCGCCGGTTATGTATTGGGCGTCAGTCGAGGCCAGGAATACCACGGCTTTGGCGATATCCAGGGGTTCGCGTTAATGCCGTCAGGTTTNCCGTCGACCACCAGATTCTCGCCGGTTATGTATTGGGCGTCAGTCGAGGCCAGGAATACCACGGCTTTGGCGATATCCAGGGGTTCGCCCACTCGTCGCAGGGGTGCTGTCTTTGACACTAACTCTATCATTGCTTTGGGCGTACCCTCCACTTCTGTTAGGGCCGGGCTATTGATTAATAAGAGATATTTGTTAACATTTTAATTCATAAATAAATATTAATTATGAAGTGATTTAACAAATGACTGCAAACCTGACGGCATTAACGCGAACCCCTTTGGGTCCCAACTCGAGGGCCAAGACTTCTGTCAACATATTTAGCGCCGCTTTCGCGGAACAGTAGTTCAAAACCGATGGCGCCTTTGGGTAGAGATTTATATTAGAAATAAAATAATGAATAAATGATTATTAAAGTGATGTACTGTACAGGGACAATTGCTAGAACAGATGAAATATCAATAATGGTGCCGTTAGTCTTCTCGAGGTATGGGACAGCCGTATGTATGGTCTGCACGACAGCCCTTAAGTCGATGTTAAACACCAAATCAAACTCATCGGTCATATTCTTGTCGTGAATGTCAGATGTGGGGTATATCCCGGCGTTGTTGACCAACACATCCAACTGTCCAAACGTTTTGATGGTTTCATTGATAAGTCTCTCGACGTCTTCCGTTTTGGTCAGATCTGCCGTCACTTCTAAAGGCTTTATAAAAAATATTATTTTATTTTTAATTTTACAAGTTTTTCTGTTCGTGTTATTATAAACTATTCAAAAATATTCATTATAGAGCATAAGTTATTTAACTTGATTATTTTTATTCATACCTTTAGTTTTTGTGGTGATAACTCTTGTACTTCTTGAGCCACTTTATGGACATCAGCCTCTTTCCTACCGGTGACCACCACTTTAGCCCCTAATATGGAGAACAGTTTG